GAGTGCCATATCTTCGGTCCATGTCTGAACGGAGGGTTTAGCGTAGGGTAGATCGAAGCAGCATCGCTTACCAGGGCCCTTGCCGCTACCAGCAAGGCGTCGGCAAGCTCGCCAAACCTCTGCTTCCAGTCCTGCTTCGTCAGCCTGTTGGAGTTCGCGAACATGTTGCTCTTCTCGGAAGTCGCGTACTCGCCGGTGGATTTTTTGCCAGCAGCGCTGCAACTTCGGAGGGCCATCGTCCTCTCTAAGTCGTCCGTGATATTCTGCCGACCGAGTGTGCGTTCGTGAAGGTCGTGTCGGCGTTGCTGCGCAAGCTGCTGGTGCTCCCAGTCGGTCGGGGACTTCCTCGCTTCAAAATATTCAAGAGCTCGTGGTCGTATAATCGATATTAAGTGTTGCCATCCAGATTACATCGTATGTCTTTCTGCCCAGTCCGCCACGTCGCCGTGGCCGTTCTCGTTGAGGTAGTGAGACAGGTCCGTCTCTATGTCATCGTGGAGCTGCTTCGCCCAGCCGAAGAACCTTTCATTCCAAGCTAAGAAGATGCGGGTGTAGTCCCACTGCGGCGTCGTCTGGGGCCTGTCGAATATGAGGGTGCAGTCGACGTCTATATATAGCATCATGTGGTCCAGGAGGCGTTGTGATGGGAATGCTCGGAGTCTTTTGGTCAGGTGGCAGGCTATGTTGTGGCGCCGTATTCTCGGTTGATAACGTATTTCCTTCACGGGGTAGTCGATGCAGGCAGTGTGTCCGCGAAGCCATGGTATGTGGGGCCGCGCGGGTGGTGCGCGTTCGTCGCGCACAGGGCGTAGTCCTTTATAAACGTGTGAAAAGCTTCTCCAGCGTAGTGTTGCTGGCCGTAAGCATGCATACCTATGGTGGCGTCGTCGTCCTCTGTGGAGTTGGTGCGCTCGAGGCCGTCGTTTAGGTCTGTGCCGAGGACGCGCGAGTTCGGCCTGGCAAGTTCGAGAGAATGTCGTGCAGGTAATTACGCATTCTGTCAATCATAACTTCGTTCTTGGAGACAGTGGTGGGGCGCTGAGATCTCGGGGGGACGTAGGCTGTGATGAAAGTGACATCGAACTGCGAGCCCTTCACGCGCGCAGCGCCTACACGGCCGCGAAGAGCGGGTGGAGGCTGCCATATCATTACTATGTGTGTTTTCCGAAACCAGCGTCGGCTCAACCAGATCTCTGTGCCGCATGATGTGTTGCCTGTCGTGTTCTTGTTACCGCGATGCCATCCAAACTTTAACATGAAAAACTCTGCCGATGAGTGTGTCTCGGAGGGGGTCGTGGTCTTTGTCTGAGTTCCTGATAGGAGTACAGCATCAATGTGCTCCAGCTCACGAGCGATCTCAAGTCGCTTATCGTAATATTGCAGAGACATTTGATTCCATTCGATGAGACGCATGTAGACCGTCAGCGTGTGACAGAGAAGCCCGACCTTCGGGGCGTTGGGCATGTTGCCCACGCTCTGGAGATCTCTGAACAACTCGTACCAGAGCAGTGCATGTATGTATATCTATATATATACATACACATACACATACATGCAGACATAGATACATACATGCATGCATGCATACATACATACAAATACATACTAACATAGGAGGAGGGGGTGGAGGAGGAGGAGGAGGAGGACCAGTGTAACCCCAAGAGTCATCAACGATGCTGGAGTGAACCCTCCCTCCAAGCTCCCTCTTCGTAGGCCCATACAACGGTTCATTTTCATTGAGGGAACTGCCTCGTTGGAAGACAACCGTTTGAAAACCCGGAAGCGTGCCAAAACATTGCTCTCGGGATCTCAACGCCACGTATCAACCTGACAGCTGCGTCTTGGTCACCGGGAATCGTGTCAGAACTTTTGTTTGTGACTTCAACACCGCGAATCAACATCACCATTGCGCACGCATAATCCGGCCGGAATCTTTCTGAAACACAATTTCTGGCACGTTGAAGTTGAATGCACGCGGCGCTAAGGCGAGAGGCACATTTTGAAACGGAGCCACCCTCAATCCGTGGAACTCTAATACTTTGAAAACGAGTGTGCGCGGCGTTAAGGCGAGAGCCACACTTTGAAAACGACCCGCCCTCAATCCGTGAAGTTCTTGCAAATGTTGAAAAAGGAATGCACGCGGCGCTAAGGCGAGAGCCACACTTCGCGAAAGCGGCCCGCCCTCAATCCGCGAAGCTGTTGTTACTTTTCAAGCTTCGGAGTCATAGATGGTGAAGAAGTCTCAGGCGAAACGCCCGGCCCGCCCTAAAATTTGGTTTCGGCTTGCGACAGGGACAAGTAATTTATAGGAAAAGGAATGGAGGAGGATGAGGAGGAGGAGGAGGAGGAGGAAGAGGAGGAGGAGGAGGAGGAGGAGGAAAACCAGGAGGAGGAGGAGGAGGAAGAGGAGGAGGAGGATAAGGAACTCTTCCCGCCATCCCCCCTCCGCGGCAGGGCCGATGGCCATGAACGCGCCAGCCCTGAAAGCGCGCTTCTGCCGGAAGGCGCCGGGCGCCTTCCTGCTGTTGTTCCTCCTGGTCCTCCGATTGCCCGAGACGTGCCCAACCCCTTATCAACGCGAGCGTGTTATTTATAGAAGCGTTCCATACAAAAGAACACGTTGCACAGACACTCTTCTCCGCTGGACCTTCCAGGAGACTACGACAGTGGCAACAATTGCGCATTGCGCAACTCCCGAGAGAGCCGCGAGGTCTGGGCTGCATGTGCGTACTCCCTTACTCCGCCGTGCCTCCCAGGAACCCACGGACGAGGCGACAGTTGCGCAGTTCACAGACATTCAAGGAGCTGCGAGGTCTCGGGTGTATGCGCGTACTTCCCTACTCCGCCGTGCCTCCCATGAGCCCACGAAAGTGACGACGGTTGCGCAGTTCGCAGCCACCTTGGGGGCCGCGAGGTCTCGGCTTGATGCGCGTATTCCCCTTCTCCGCCGTGCCTCCCAGGAGCCCACGAGAATGGCGGCAGCTGCGCAGTTCGCGGCCACTCAGGGAGCCGCGAGGTCTCGGCTTGATGCGCGTATTCCCCTTTTCCGCCGTGCCTCCCTGGAGCCCACGAAAGTGGCGACGGTTGCACAGTTCGCAGTAACCCAGGTAGCAGCGCTGGAGGAGGCAGGGGGAGGCAGGAGGAGGGGGGAGGAGGAGAAGGTGTGCTACCGCCAGTGCTTTATCGAAATCGTGAACCCAACGCAGGAGGGTTGGGAAACATCAGACGCGGCATGAGCATGATAATTACTGCAGAGGTCTGCGCGTATTTCTCGGATCTGCGCTGGACCACCATGGCGGCGCCTCCGTCGCCGCCCTTGGGCGCCCCGCGCGTCAGGGAGGGGGGGCCAGCGCCAATTGAAGAAACCTTTCCGGACCCCCGAACGTGTATTGCATTTGGTCTCATCGCTTGTGCATTCGCTTTCTCCCCTCCCGCTGCCTCTTCCCCTCAAGCCTTTCTGCCGTGAACGGTTCATGGCCGCCTGGGTGCACGCTGCCGGCGGCTGGGTACTCGGGGCGCTCTCCGAGCGCTGGGCCGGGGCTGGGCACAGCGGCGTCGCCGAGGTCTCCTGCCGCTGCGTGTTCGAGGGGGCCCTTGGCGCTGGGCTGGCGACAGCGGCCTGGCTGGCGGCTGGAGCGCCGGGTCGGGCGGCGGTGCGAGCGCGGGCCCTCGCCGTCGAGGACGACGCCGGCGGCACGCACGTCGCGACGCCGTCGGCTCTCGGGCGAGGCCGGCTGGCTCCTGGCGCCCGAGCTGACTGAGGGCCGCCATGGCCCGAGCGCTGGACACGCCGTTCAGCCAGTGCCTCGTCAGGTACGAGGACGACGAGAACTTCGAGTGGCATCACCGTGTGCTGCTGGTCAAAGGAGATGCCCAGAAGTGGATCTGGCTCACGCCGGACGGGGAGGTGGCCTTCGTCGACCTGGCCACCTTTCGGGTGCTGGCCCTTCGGCGGTCGGGCCCGTTCCCAGCCCGGCATGCTGGGAACTTCTACGCCTTCGACGAGGTGGCGGCGGAGGACATGCAGGGCTACCTCGAGGAGGCCAGGGCCCTGGGCACGATCCTTGGCTTCGACCTCGCCGGCGTCGTGGGCCTCCCGGGCGACAAGTGGTACGTGAGCGACCCCACCTCGTCGCACTTCGGCGAGGAGGTGCCGCCCCAGGTCCTCGCCAACGAGGAGGTCCTGGTGCGGCGTGGGGATGTCGGGCTCGTCCGACTCGACGACGTCTGGGTCCATGCGATCAAGGTGAGCGAGGGCCAGAACTACGACACGTACCTCGCGAGAGCTCGCGGGGGCGCTGGCCGGGATCCGCGTGTCGTCGGCGACGGGAGGGACCAGGACGGAGGCAGGTACATCGACTTCCGCGACTCGGTCCGCCGCATGAAGGAGACGACGGTCCCGGGCTGGCCCCTGCAGGGCCGCCGTGCCACGAGGGAGGCGGTGCTCTCCCTTCGCGACGGGGGACACGGCAACTGGGAGGAGCACCACACCACGTGGCTCCGACGCAGCGGAGTAGCCGAGCGGGGCAACGTGGCCCGCGAGCACCACATGATCTGCGTGTCTCTTCGGATGATGCAGCAGTTCGATCAGCTGGACCTCCTCAACATCGCGGGCGCGGAGTACCTCGTCAGGCGGCTCAAGCCGCTGGAGTCGGCGACCCGCAAGAGTCCTCGGGCTCCCGACTTCGAGGGGCTGGACCTCATCCTCGACACGGGGGTCGACGACACGGGCGGCATGGTGCTGCCGGAGTTCGACGGATGGGTCGGCGACCAGGCGCGCGCCCGCGCCCAGACCATGAAGGCGAATCGGCAGTGGCAGGAGGAGAGGACGGCCGCGCAGCCCAAGGCGCCCCCAAAGGGGCCGAAGGGCGGCGGGGCTGACGCTGGCAAGTAGCAGGGGGCCGGCTGGCCCCCTCCTTGGGCTGGGCGTCCTGCGGCGCCCCGCCCTGCCTGGCTGCCGCCGCGGGTTCCTCCGCCGCGGGCGCCTCCTCGTCCTCCACATGGCATCGGGATCACGCTCCTCGCACGGGGACCCGCTGCCGCTTTCGGTCCCGGGGCCTGGCCCGCCGGTCGACCTCAGCGGGGCGCCGCGGTACCTGCGCCAGCGGGTGCTCCAGCGACGCTCTCGTGAACACCGTGTTCGTGAGGCAGTTCACTCGATCAACTGTCTCGCCGCCTGCGCGGTGCGCCATCGTGGCCGCGGGCCAGGTGGCGCTGCCGTTTCAGGGACTTCGGGTACGGCGACCTCGTCCTCGTGCGGCCGGCAGCTCGGCCGCTGCGTGGCGGAGTACGGCCCTCGCCAGGCAGATCTCCACCCTCGCGGAGCCCTTCAGGAGCTCCTCAAGTCCGACTCGCTCTACGGAGGCGCGCCGTCCAAGGTCGTCCCGTATGAGGAGTCCAAGCTCAAGTTCTGGCAGTCCTCAGTCACGCCTCGAGACGTGGAGGAGGTCTGCCCCAAGTTCGTCGTCGACGCCTTCCGCGACCCCGACGCCTACATCCGCAAGCCGGACCGCGTGGTCGAGCAGGACCTCGAGCTCTTGCCGCCGATCAAGCCGTACTGGGACGCGCGGCTTGCCAGCGACGCCCGCCTTCGGCGGGACTTTCTCCTCAGGCTCGCGGGGCGGGGGCTGGTCGGCTTCCGGAGGCGGATCAGGTCACGCGTGGGGTGTTTCTTCGTCGAGAAGAAGGGCGGCTGGATCCGCCTGGTCGTCGACGCTCGCGACACCAACCGCACCCACTGGGCGCCCCCGCATGCCGCCCTCGGGACCCCGGCTGCCCTCAGCGAGCAGGACTGGTCCGATGCTGCGCTCGCGGACGCTGGATGGGTTAGTGCTGACGGCTCGCCTGCTCAGATCTTCGGGTCGTCCCTCGACCTCCAGGACTCGTTCTACCAGTTCTTCTCGGAGCGCGTCGCGGGGGATTTCGGGATGGACTTTCCTGAGCGGGCATCCTACTACCAGGTCTCCCACATCTGGACGCCCGACGGCCTGTCCCCTGTCGACCCCGACGAGCTCGTGTTCCCGGTCTTCCGCGGGGTGCCGATGGGGTGGTCATGGGCACTCTGGGCCGTGCACTCGTCCGTCACGTCCTGGGTCTCGGACACGCTGCCGGGGGGTGCCCGACGCCTGCTGCTTGACAAGCAGCCGGCTCCCGTCGCGGCACCCTTCCGCCCCACAGGGTCGGTCTACGTGGACAACGTCTCGTTCCTGGGCCTCTCGAGCGACGACGTCGGGCACGCGCTGCAGGCCGCGAAGGACAAACTCGACTCGCTCGGCATCGCGTACCACGAGGTCGAGGGCCCGGCCACGCACTTCACCACCGTCGGCGTTGAGTACGACGGGAGGCGGAGGCGTCTGCGGCATTCCGATCACCGAGCCTGGCGTCTCTACTTGGCCTGTCAGGAGCTCGAGCGGCCTGGGGTTCCGCGCGCGGCCTGGCAGATCCGAGTGTTCCTCGGGCATTGTGTGCAGCACTGCCTGCTGCTGCGGCCGGCCCTCTCGATCTTCCGCCTGCTCTACCGCTTCGTGGACGCGCAGGGTCAGGGGCCTCCAGTCGCACTGTCTGCTGGGGCCCGACGGGAGATCCAGCTCTTCAGGGGCCTCATCTTCCAGGCCGTCGTCTTCTTGGACCGGCCGATGTCCTCCCTGGTTTTGTGCTCCGACTCGTCCGAGGCAGGCTACGCCCTCCATCGCCGACGCGCTGACGTTCGACTCCTTCGGCAGCTGGCGGCTACCCGGGAGAGGTGGAGGTTCGTCCCCGACGAGAAGCGGCCCGACGCGGCGCTCGACGACACCTTCTCCCCGGGCTGGGTGCCTGGCGCTGGAGGCGTGCTGGGAGAGCCGCCGGGCGCCACAGGCGTGGCCGTCTGGGCCCCGCCGCCGACGCGCTCGAGGGAGGGCGCCCGAGGCGTGCTCAAGGGTTGTCTCAGACCCACTGTGCGACCTGCTGGCGTCTCCGTGCCCGACAGCCTCGTCGATCCCAGGGACTGGTCTCTCATCGTCGAGGGCGCCTGGCGCCGCGCGGCCCCCATTCACCTGCTGGAGGGCCGCATCGCGCTGGGCGGCCTGCGGCACGCCGCCCGGCAGGTCGACTGCCACGGCTCCCGAGTGCTCAGCCTGGGCGACAACATGTCGGAGCTCCTCTCCATCGAGAAGGGGCGAGCCGTGGACCTCGGCCTCGCTTGTCTGTGCCGGAGGGCCGCCGCCTACCAGATCGCCTGCGGGATCTCCTGGCGGCGCCGGCACCTCGACGCGGACCGCAACCTCAGTGACGCGGGGTCGAGGAAGGCGCTGCAGGGCGTCTACCGCCCAGGGCAGCGGCGGGTTGGCGGCAGGTCGGAGAGGCCCGCTCTGCCCGCTGGCTGCCCGCAGTCGGCGCCCCCGGCGCTGGCCCCGCCGGCGCCCTCGGCGTTCGCCAGCTGGCCAGTCGCCGAGGAGGCTTGCGAGCCTCCCCCCGCAGCGCGGCTGCGCGGCGGCCGACTGCAGACCTGCCCGCCGCGGCCGCCGCCGCGGGCCTCTGGGGCTGCTGGCCGCTGCAGGCCGCGGCGCGCCCCACGGCCACAAGAGGGGCCCGCAGCCGGCGCCCCTGGCCACCCTGCACGCGAGGCGACGTTCGACGAGGCCGAGGGGGCCCGCGGCCCGTCGCCGCCTGCGGCCCGCCCACGCGGGCGCCGCCCACGGCCGCGGCCAGTGCCTTCGCCGCGGCCTGCTGGGGCCCTCGGACGAGTCGGACGGAGACTCGTGCCGGGGCCTCGGCACCTCTCTTCCGAGCGGGCCCCGCCACGTCTGGGCCGCTCCGGGCCGCGCACGCGCGTCGGGAGCGCGCCGCGCGGGCCGCCTGCCCTCGGGAGCCTTCGCTGGCATGCCCGGCCTGGCCGAAAATGGACGTCGGAGCCTCCCGGGCTGCCGCCCCCTCCGCCCATGCCGTTCGTCGCGGTCGAGCCGGCTCGTGTTCCTGTACCTCGGCTTCGTGGACGTCGGGCGGCTCTCGAGATCTTCTCGGGGGGGGCTCGCTGGACAGGGGCTCTCGCGCAGCTCGGTCTGGCTGTCGCGGCTCCGATCGACATCAAGTTCGGGGGTTGGGGCGACCTGCTTCGGCCCAGCATCGAGACCGTCGTTCGCCAGTGGATCGTCTCTCGCAAGGTCTGGTTCGTGCACTTCGGGACTCCGTGCACTCCGTGGTCAGTTGCTCGCCGTGGGGCCAATGATACGTCTGCTATACGCGCCGGTCGGCGGTGTGCTCATGTCACTCTTCGTCTACATCGCTTGTGCGTTCAGTTCGGCGTCAGGTGGTCCCTCGAGAACCCCCGGGGATCGCGGCTCTTCTCTTGGGAGCCTCTTCAGAAGTTCCTGTCCGAGCATAGCAAGGTCTCCGTGGTGTATGACTGCTGTCAGTTTGGAGCCCCGTACCAGAAGCCCACCAGGATTGAGTCTGACCTCCCCGAGCTCGGCATCCTTGAAAGGCGTTGTCTTGGAGGTCATGCCCACGAGCATCTTCAGGGGAAGGTCAAGGTCCGTGATCGCCAGGGTCGGCTCAAGCAGTTCTGGCGCACGACCCTGGCTGGCGCCTGCCCTCCTGGTGTCTGCCACAGCGCCGCTCGGGCCTTGGCGCGCGCGGCGCCCGCGGGTGCCTGGCGACCAGATGGGAGTCCACTGCTGCCCGGTCACTGGGAGACTCAGCTCCGCCGTGCAGCCAAGGTGGACGACGTCCAGCCGTCCCTCGAGTGCCCCAGCTGCCCGCGGAAGTGGGTCGCGCTCTGGCCGCCCGACGCCGAGGGCTGGGGCCGCTTCGTGGGCCTCCCGCGGCCGCGGGCAAGGCCGAAGCCTCGGCAGAGGCCGGGCGTCGGCTGCCCGGGCCCGCCAGGTGCCTACTGACTCCTCGCCGGGCTTCCTGCGGCGCTCGCAGGTGCGGCCGGCCACTCAGGCCCGCTACCTCGCCAGCGTCGTCGTGTTCGCCACGGCCATGGGCGTTGTCGCCGACCGCTGGGTGAGCAAAGACCTCCCCCTGGTGGACACGCTCCTCGAGGAGTACTTCGAGCAGCTCTACGTCGACGGCGGCAGCAAGAGCACGGCCCGCTACACCTTGGCCGCCTTGGCCTACCGTTTCAGCGTGTCGCTTCGTGCCCCATACGTCTTCCCGAAGGCGAAGGGCGCCCTCGCCGGCTGGGGCAAGCTCGAGCCAGACGTCGCCTCGGAGCCGCTCTGCTGGGCGGCAGCGTGCTTGATGGCCCTATACCTGGCCGGCCTCAACACGGAGATTGCCCTGCAGGCCGCCCGCGGCCTGGTGGTACAGTTTGACACGTACTTGCGCCCTGGTGAGCTGCTGGACCTTCGCGTGCCCTGCTGCATCTTGCCGCAGCCGAGTGCCGGCTCAGGCTACAACAAGATGGGGCTCGTCGTCGGTGCCTCAGCGCTGGTCATGGGCGACGACGTGCACACTCGTGTGACCAAGACTGGCCTCCAGGACGACACCGTGCTCATCGATGGCCAGTCTCGTGCTGGCGTGGCTGGCGCTCTTATGGCCCTCGTCAAGAGCGCCAACCAAGCCCGCCAGGGGCGCCTCATGTTCCTCCACTCGTACGCTTCGTACAACCGCTTGCTCAAGAAGGCCGCCGTCGCCGTCGGCCTCCCGACCAAGGTCACGGCCCACCTTCCTCGGCACGGCGGTCCGTCAGAGGACTACCTGAGAGGCGCCCTTTCGCTGGCCGACATTCAGTCTCGTGGCAGGTGGTCGAGCTTCCGTTCTGTACAGCGCTATCAGAAGAGCGGCCGTGCACTTGCTTCTTTCAGACGCCTTTCGGCCGCTGTGAAGGCAGAGGCTAAGCGCGCAGAGGCCATGCAGTTGTCCTTCCTCTCGTAAGGTGCCTCTCTGCGCTCAGCCTGCTGCAGTGTTCCCTCGGCAAGCCAATGGAGTTGTTACGGGATTTACTCCAGCGTTCGATATGGGTTTGATTTCAGGTCTGGCCAGACTGTCAGATTTCTCGAGCTCCTCGGCCGTGTGGGCCAGGGGCTCTCAGTGTTTCAGCTCTGCCGTCAGCCGCCATCGCAAGTGTACTCAGGTGTGGGCCTGAGCTCTCGGCGCTGCAAAAGAAATGAAAGTCCTCGTCACGCCAGCTGTCTTTTTCCGTTAGGCTGACGCCGTTCCGAGTCTCTTGAGACCCACGCCCTGGGAGGGGTGTCCGTTCAAGATTGCATTGCATTTGGTCTCATCGCTTGTGCATTCGCTTTCTCCCCTCCCGCTGCCTCTTCCCCTCAAGCCTTTCTGCCGTCCCGCCCTTCCCACCCAGGGAAACGCTGGAGGGGAAGGCAAAGTAGCTTGGACTTCTGTGAATTCGGGTTTGATTTCAGGTCTGGCCAGACTGTCAGATTTCTCGAGCTCCTCGGCCGTGTGGGCCAGGGGCTCTCAGTGTTTCAGCTCTGCCGTCAGCCGCCATCGCAAGTGTACTCAGGTGTGGGCCTGAGCTCTCGGCGCTGCAAAAGAAATGAAAGTCCTCGTCACGCCAGCTGTCTTTTTCCGTTAGGCTGACGCCGTTCCGAGTCTCTTGAGACCCACGCCCTGGGAGGGGTGTCCGTTCTAGATTGCATGTTTATGCAGTTGCGTGCTTCTCCTCTGCATCAAAGCGAGCCTGCGCAGCCCCTGGCTGCTCAGTGCCAGACCCCAGGGGGCGGTCGTTGCCTGGTGCCCTGCTGCCACCTAGCATCGCCGGTTCGAGGAGTCAGGGAGTGCGCCACATGAGTCCCTGGCCAGCGCTGCTGGGAAGCGCGAGTGCGACCGCGGGCACAGTATGGGCGACCGCGGGCACGCCTTTTCGCGCCTGGCAGCAGCGCCCCAGGTCCAGTGCCAGCTCTAGTCGCAGCAGGCTCGTGTCCACCCCCCGCTCAGCCGGCTTGCAAGGGGCTGGCGGCGGCAGGCCAGTCACTCGCTGGGTGGCTCCGCCTTCAGCCGGACCTTTCGGCAGCCCAACAGCTCGCGCGGCTCAGCACCGCCCGGCGGCGCCCCTTAGCTGGCTCGTCACCTGGCGCTGCAGCGTGCAGCTGAGCGGCTTGTAGCCGCGCGCCCGCTCCCCCAGCTGAGCGTCCTCGGGAAGAGCTCGCGCACCTGCGCGAGAAGCCACCTCTCCCAGCTGAGCGTCGTCGGGGAGAGCTCGCGCTCCTGTGCGAGAAGCCACTGCCGCGCCTCGGCGCCCGGGCGGCTCCAGGTCTCCAGCGCGAACGGAGTCATACCCTCGCCTGGATACCTCTCACGCTTCTAGTGCTCGGCCCTGCGCGTGGCTTCGCCCGGCCGTCGCGCCGCGGCCCCTACCGCCGTCTCGTCGCCGGCCGCCAGGTGGCCGACAGTCCTCCACCCATCAGGGGCTGCTTGCCTCCGCGTAGTGGAGGTTCTGGATGGCCCGCTTCGAGACGGGCGGCCGGGGCCCCGCTGTCAGTGCCTTCTCCACGTCGCTGTGACGTCGTCTCCAGGTCGCCGTGCCAAGCTCCCCGGCGTCCTCGCCAGGTGGCCGTGGCGCCTCGCGGCGCCACCGCTGGCCCGGCAGGCGCAGGGCGCGGTAGCCGTCCAGCGGCTGCAGGCGGCGGCGGAGAGCTGTGCCTCTAGCCCACCGCATGCACGGCGCGGGCTGTCTCTGCAGTGCGCTGCAAGAGCCCGCTGGTCCTTCTGCACTCCCCTGGACATCCTTTCCTCTCTCCCTCGTCCTTCCTCCTCCTCCCTCCTCCTCCTCCTCTCCTCCTCCTCCTCCTCCTCCTCCTCCTCCTCCTCCTCCTCCTCCTCCTCTTTCTCCCCCCTCACCTCCGTCCTCCCCCTGCTTCTCTCCCTGCTGCGACTGCTGCTGCTGCTTCCCCACTCTACTCGATCCTTCCTCTCCCTCCCTCGTCCTCCCTCCTCCTGCTCCCTTCTCCTCATTCCCATGCGCTCGTTCGCTCGCCCACTCACTCATGAGGAAGGCGCGCATCTCCTGCTGCGCGCTGCGGACAATCCATCCAACACGGCAAACGAACTCTGCTCTTTCACTGGCCCTCACCGTCAAGACAGCCGAGGCCGATGAGCGCGGCCTGCCAAGGAACCAATTGCAAAGGCGACGATGACCCACAGAACCGCAGCCGCAGGGCAAGACCCAAGCCCAGGCACCCACCCAAGAAGGGAAACGCAGGGGGGGGCGAGAGAGACAGAGGAGTAGAGCGCAGCAGGCCGCAAGTGTTTGCAGGGGCCCGGATCTCGCCCGCCCTCCAGGGGCCATCCCAAAGACATTGCACCCAGCAGTACGAGTCACACCCAGCACGCCGACGAAGCGGAACGCGCCGGACCCAGAAGCGCCCAAGTTGCCACGAATCAGCCTCCGAGTGTAGCTCAGGACAGCCGGGGTCACTCCACGACACATGGATCGTCCACATCCCAACTCGAATGAGCAGCTGAGGGATCCTTCCGAATACGTGACCCTGCCAGAGAACTCGGGGAGGACGCTCCGCGGCCCCTCAGCCGGCTGCGGCGTGAGGAACGACCTTCCCTCGTGTGGCGCGCACCTGGGTGTTCGCGGTCAGGCCCTGCCCCCCCCCCTTTGAAATCGACAACGCAAGCCGGGCCCAGGGCGCTCCAGAGGGGAGTCCCGACTCTTCTCCGACAGCGCCTCGTCAGACACCCGCGCCTGGCTTTCTGCTGCTCCGCCTGCTGGGCGGACGCGCCACGTGCGGCCTCCCAGCCGCCCTCTGATGCGGGCAATAGTTGCATCCATATCCAGTGCGTCGTGGACTTCTTGAAAGGGGCGCCGCAAGGCCGACGCGCACAGGATGTGGATAAACATCGAGCCTCTATGGGCCAGACGTTTATCCATATCCAGTGTGCCTCGGGTTTCTGGGGAAACATGTTTTTGTGAAGCCAGACCGGACTTTACACAAACACGTTTGCCGAGCAGTTTTTTTTCCGAAGCCGGACACGATTTCCAAAACCCTTTTTTTGCCGAAAGTCCAAGCTGCAGCGGATGTGGACACAAGTCTCGCCCGCACTCTGCCTGCTGGCCGCCCCCCCCCCACGAGGGCTGGGAGGCGCGGGCGCGCCGCTTCTCCCGTGCTCGAGGGCTCGTGCTCGCGCTGAGGGGTCGTTGCCTGCATGGGCTTGCTGTCGGGGCCGCGCGGCGTCGGCCATATCTCGAGGAGGGGATCGACGGCGGAATTGTTTCACTCAAAAAGTTGTCTTCTCTTCGAGCCTACGAATCATACTTATAATGGTTCGTAGATCTACGCCCCTTCTATGCATGGTTCCTAGGTTCGACGGGAAAACCAATGTTGCGGTGACTCAATGTTGTAGTCGATCCTCTCCTCGAAGATTCAGTCGCCTGGGCCAGAGGCCAGAACGACGACCCCGACCGTGCCAGCTGCCCCGGTTGGAGCGAGGGTGTCCGAACGGTGCAATGTGCATGCTGCGTCCCTGTGCGCACGCTGCCGTTGTGGGGCGGCGGCCGCTCGGCGAGGGTTTTCCTGGACGACGGGCCTGGGCGATGGGCCGCGCTCCTCTCTCGAGGTCTGGGCTTTCTCTTGAGGATGCCCTCTCTGGCGGGAGGGTCGGCACGTCTGGCCACCCTCCTGCTTGCTTCCTTTCCATACGATCCACGGGCTCTTTTGGTCTGCAGGCTGAGTTGTTTCCTGCACACCCCCGGCAGAGCCGCCCCTGGCGGACTTCCGAGGACATCCGAGTTCCGAGTTCCTTTCCACGGCCTGGCGCTAGTCACTGACCCGCGCCTGCGCTAGCTCGCTCGCTCGCTCTCTCTCACCCTTCTAGCCGCCATCGCGAGGGGCTACATCAGGGCCCCAGGGCTCCACCGCCGCGATCCTTCTCACAGCGTGGCCCCCCTCGGGGTCTGGACGGCCTGTGTCAAAGCCTGGACCACATCTTTACCCCCGGCCGTTCTGTTGACGCTCGCAGGGCCCGGGCCCAGAACTGTCCGTCGTGCTTCCCGCAATTTTTTGTGAGCCGCGGCGGGAGGAGGCCTGGCCTTCGGGCCGTGCCTCGGGCCTCTGGCGGCCGATGGGGATGATTTCGGGCGCCCCCCGTGCCCTTGACGTGGGGCAGCTGCTGGAGCGCCTCCCGCAGGGCTGCGCTGACCCTTGATCCGAGAGGAGGCAGGGGCAGGGGATCGAATCTCGCCCACTCTTGTGCCAGGCTCGAGGTGCGAGCAGCCCAGGGAGTTCTTGCCATGAGATGCGCCCAGCTCGCCGCCCATGGCGGCACAGCCTCACATGCTTCGTGGCCCCACACGGGGGCTCCACCGAAGGCCCCAGAGGCCGTTCTCGCATGCGGTTCCACGCCCGTTTCGGCACACCCTTCACCCGCTTCGTGGCCCCACAGTGGCCGTCCTCGCGTGGGGCTCCCCGCCCGGCTCGGGACACCCCAGAACTGCTTCGTGGCCTCATCAGGGGGCTCCATCGAAGGCCCCAGTGGCCGTCCTTGCATGGGGGGCGGGCCCGCGGGCCCGCCGTCCCTGTGCGAGTCTCGGCCCCGCTGGCCCTGCGGCGCGTCCGTGGGCTGCGGCCGGCGGGCTCTGGGGCGGCGGGGTGCTCCCTCGGAGGGGGCCGCGGGCTCGATGTTGACTTTGCGGTCAGCGGCAGCTCGAGTCCAAGAAGCGATAAAGACAGCCGAGGGAGGCACCGCAGCCGAATTGGGCACAGAGGGGGGAAGGAAGGGGCGCAGGTGTGGGGGGAGGAGGGGAAGGAAGCCGCGGGCGGCGGAGCACGCCGATACCGTGAACATCCTGTGCGTGCGTGCTGGAGCACAGGCTTGCCAGGGTAGCGAACCAGGGAGCAGGTGGGGGAGCAAGGCAGGCAGCAGCATCCAGGTGCAGCCTCGGCGCACTTCCACCTATCTCAGAGCGTGAATAACCTCCCCCGCTTCCGCTTCCAGACAAACCAAGCCACACCACGCGCCTCCTCGCCAGGCGGCCTGACCAGTGCAGGCCGTAGTCTGGCATCGTTTGGTATCTCTTGGAAGCGAGGGTGGTCAAAAGCGAGGTAGGTT